GGACTCCAATAAAAGTAAATTATTTACATTTTATCTAAATATCAGTAATTGTAATTTGATTTAGCTGTATATAAGTGGACAACTTAAAGAATGGATTCATGATCGCTACTCCAAAATTCAGATTAAAATGTTTTTAGAATTTATATCTGTATATTTAAATTATTATTATTGTAATTATTTTATTCTTATTTTTGTTGTAATTACAGGGCCAAGAACATGTTTAGAGGTATGCTAGATATTTCTACCCTTTGAAGATATTTGTGATCGAACCAGAAAAACGTTCAGAGAGATGAGAAGCTGTCAGGAGAATCAGTACAGGTACGTAATATTTTTTAAATATTTGTTACCATCTTGATAGAAGAAATTCTAACAGCATTCAGACATTAAGCAGGCACACACATGAGGGTGACATGTTAGTACTCAACTATCCCATGGTTCGTTGAAATAATTATTAATTGCGACTGTTAAATTAATTTTCATTATGTACATAGTTTTTTTTCATAAATTCAAATGCAGCTTCATCACATGATCCTATTGTTCACCCATGAGTATAAAAAAATTACTTTCTTTATTTTTAAGAATAAAATTGTATAATATTTTCATTCATATTTTGAATGAATGAAAATAACTCTATTATTCTGGAACTAGTGTCCCTTTAGAACAAATTATAAATAAAGAATATATATTAACATTCTGGTGTGTTCATAAAATACAATTAAATATTTACAGGATAATTGGTAATAAAATAAAAGTTCAGATAAATATTTTATTGGCGTTAAATTACTTTATCTTTCTAGTCATATCTGATTAACTAATATGTTTTACTTATAGACTTATAAGCCATAGTCCAATGTCTTTTTTGTAAGAGCAGAAGGAAATTAAGGCATGATAGATTTTTATAGAACTCTGTTTGGGTTTGGATTGCCGCTGCTATACTTAAAGCTCTTTACTCTATTGGGTGATCTCCAAATAAAGTGTTAAAGGAAAATTTGTCATGATGGTAGCCGTTGTTTATGTTAATACTTTAAACTTATTTCTTTCAATACATTAATCTGTAAAACTATATCTAATCGTTATTCATAATAATGTAATTGTATTAAATCAATAACAACATGATTTGATGACAGGTTAGTAATATTTTTTACTATGTTTTGTGTTAGATATATTTCTCAATGTCACGTTTGCAGAAGCTTAAGGGAATCGAGGCATGCTAGATCAGATAGGCTCTGTAGCTAATATTTTCCTAGCTAGTCCATCAATGACTTCAGTTAGTCCATTTTTTTGTAAATTTATTTATTTTACATTAAATAGTCAATACTTGATTTTGGATTTGTCATTTCAATAAGAGTGCTAAGGCAGATTTGAGCATCCTGAGCCAGACTCCAGAATATATATCTTTATAGAATATAAAATAAATTTTAATTTCATTTTTAATATATTAATAGTAAACGGACATCAGTTTGTTAAAAATTTTTATAAGCACAAATTTTTTAAAAAGTTACTCTCATATTTTATATAACATGAGCTAGTTAATTTTTATATTGTAAATAATAAGACAGATTATTAAAGGTAAGTAAAATTTATTATTATCTTTTAATATAGAAAATTAAGACCAGTCAGACATTAGGCAGGTACAGAGTAATTGCAGCGAGTAGAAAATAAATATATAACGCTAGATTTTAGAGAATAAAACTTTATATTTGTACACATCTAGTCTAGTTTTTTTAAGTTTGTAAAAAAGTATTTATAAACAATCATTGTATAGACAACAGCATTGTTTAAAATACTAATTCATTGTATGTGAGTGAAAGAAAAAATGGAATATAAAAATATTTCATGGATAGGCAACCTTAAATAAATCAACTGTAGTTTTAGTTTAATAACTCTAGATGTAATACTATATTTAAATAATAAAGTATTTATAGTCCGTTTATTCTGAAAAATCATTAGAAAATTAAATTAGTGAATAATTTGATGAATGTCCGCTTATAATTCGTGTGACAACGTTTCACCTATCTATGAAAGGCAATGCAAATCTCGTAATCATTAAAAAAATTATTAAACAAAAATAATTAATACTTATTTTCATTATTACCATTCTTAAAAATAAGAATGGTAAGTGTAAAGAATATAATCCTTAAAAAGAATTAAATCGATGCATGAATTTTTTTTCCTCTAAGTTGGCAACAATAGTAAAACCTGTTGGGCTGCAGCTCATTTAAATGTTCTGAAAAAAAATCAGGTATTTATTATTATTCTTAAAATATATCAATGTGATATTTGTATAAGTTTCAACATGATAATGATGTAACTTTGAAAAGTAGGTGGTATATTTAATTAGTACAAACTAAAAATGTTTTCCATCAGATATATATTGATTAAGCTATAAATGAGATGGGTTAATTACTCTTTAAGTATGCTTATGTTTAATTAGTAACATTATTTACATTCAAATAGCTATATTATTTACCAGAAACCCATTGTGAGATGCTAGCATTATATTATTTATTATTTATTTATTATTTAAAACATATCCTAATATTATTATGAAGAAGTTATAATAAAAGTGACTAATTTATTATTTTACAATACTCCTATTAGAAGACCTTCATTTGCATAGTTAGTAGCTGTTTATTAAAGATATAAAGAAATGTTAAAAAGTTCTTCAATAATCAATTAATGGATGATGAAAAACATCAATTAAATGAATTATCGTTTACATTTCAAACATTAGGCTAGCTCTTAAACACAGCACTGAGCTCATCAATTGCTTCAGTAGCCCATCAAACTGTTGGTAAACACAATGATGGAAACCATCAATGAAATCTGCACGTTCCATCAGCTTTGGTGTCGTTGGATTCGCTGGATGTAATCTCATTATAACGTCTTATTTCTCAATTTACTTTACTTATCTATATTATGTTTACTTTCATTCTGTATTTATTGCAGTTTTGAAATTTATCGATTTAATAGGAAGTTATTTATTTTTATACGTAATTTATTTATCATGTATTTGTCTTTATAATTCGACATTTCAGTTTATTTGTTCTCCTCCATCCTGACCTTTTCTTTACTATTATACCTTTTTTGAATTTAATGATAAAAACTTGTACGAAGCTGAAAATATGTATTTGACTGAGATGTTTTAACACTTTTGTCATCAAAATCAACTGACCGAAAGTGGTATTTTATGTCAAAAAATTTACACTTTTGTACAATATCTTGAAAATGGCCCTATTGATCCTTATAAAACGCGTTATATCTACAATCTTTAATACCAGGCCTTCAATGAAGATAACATCATTGAAACCGTTTGACAAGGCTTAAATACCGAATTATCATTATATCTTGCCCAAAAGTACCCTTAATTTTATTTATTTAAAATAATGACCATTTCACACTGTAACTGTAATAAAACATCATTAAATATAACACTATTAGCGACTTTGTTCATTGACTAAAGCATAGGTACATAATTTCCATTCTGGTTTGGAGGGGGGGGGGGAGAGGGGATGTACTTCGAAAAAATAAGTCTCCGGAGTTTATATTATTTATAAAAATTATGAGTGATAATTAACATGATCAGCATGATTATTGTAAAGCTAACAATATAAAGACGCATTTAGATATTTCTCAAACTATGGTACAAACAAATATATCTATGATTATTTCACTGTTCTAGTATTTTTAATTTTTTACATATGCTGAATGTAACAAGTGATATTTAAATAAATAGTTTGGTTTAGCAATAATGTCGATGTTAATTCAGTTAGATATTGCAGTTTCTACTATTTGTGAAATGTCTAAACATACCTTAATACTTTATATATATATGTTTATGAAAAATAAATTTATATATTGTTCTTTTTTTTTTGCGTATGGTTATATTTGAAAATATATTAACATAGCAATTACAAATACACATGAAGAGAAGAATAGTTGGGGTGGTCAGTCAAAAAAGAAGGTAAAAATAAATGATAATATTTATTTTTACATATGCCGACGTTTCGACCTGAAGTTCAGGCCTTCATCAGGGCTAAGAAAATAACCAGATAACAAGGTATGAGAAACATAAGTAGTGATGGTAAAAAAAAAAAAATAAAAAAAAATAAATAAAAAATTATAAACAAAATAAATAAATATAAAGTAAAATGAAATTGTTAGAATAATGACAATAGTAAGAACTAAGAGATAAATAATAATAACCGTTACAAAGTGTGGAATGATGAAGTAGGCATAATCAAAAAGGGTGACATAAGTGTTAAAATGGGAATCTTAGAATAAAATGTAAAACATAAAAAAGAAAGAAAAATGAAGTTATATAAGAAATGAAAATAAATATTAAAATTAAGACATTGAGAATGGAGTAGTATGGTCCCTCTGTATTAATACAAATACACATATTTTATTTAAAAGTTTTAGGAAGTGAAATGAACTCTCATTGATGCTGTTCAAATTTGCCACTGTAAAATTTCACATAAAAATGGATGGATACACAAGGATGAATCATAAAATAATAGGATCTGTTGATTCAAATAATTCTACTTCTAAGCCTGAGCTTGATTGATTTTAGTTTACGTATTTTATTCAATAGTGCTGATTAATTGTTGTTGATTTTTTTTTCCTTCAATATATTGGAGAGGGAGGTTAATGACATTCTCATCCCCTCTCTATTTATCGCCTCCTTAAAGATTGCGCCTATAGACTAAAGGATAAATAAGGGTTTGTTCTAAGCAGAAACTGTAAAATCTGGAATAACCGTTGAAAGTAGTTAACCACCTTTTGGAACAAGTTTTTGAATTTGGCGTGTCAACAAGCATAAATTATTTTTCAATATTCGTAAATTTCCTTTGAATACTTCAAACCCAGGCATAATTTACTATATGAAAATCACTTATTTTAAATTAATATGTTCTATTGTCTATAAGTTTTACTTTCATTTTCCTGCTAATGAAAACACCCAAAATTTAAAAATATTTTTATTTAAGACAGGGTAGTAAGTGAAAGTAGTGTGATCTGCACATCACACTAGATTTTAAAATTCATTGTCTTCCATAATTTGAATGTTTCCTTTAGATCTATTTTCAAAATATTTCAATATCCGTTGAGAGAAGACCTTGTAATTAATGTTGTTTGCTTAAGAGTAGCCTTGTTTGCTTAACTGTCATTATTACCTCCATTCCTAATATATTCATTTGCTTTAGATGTGAACATTTTTTTCAATATAACCTTTTGATGAATCTTTATAAAAAATATGTTTTTCCTTTTTTCTAATAGAAAAGTAGCCTCATTATGCTGCAATGGGAACTCATGATTTAAGTGAGTAACTTCATTAAATAATATAAATTAGTTTTAATTTTTAATAATACATAAAAACATGAATTGCTCATGTGTTACAAATAAACAAAGTACCATCTCCTTAACTTAATAGTAATTAACATATCACTTATACTTTTTTGCTTCCTCATTACTGAATGTAGGAAAGCATTGTATTTATATTTATATATACATATTTTTAAATAAAAGAAACAATATATATACATAAATAAATAATAAAATAGGTATATATTTATATATATGCTGTTAGGTTACATTTCCTTTAAAAGTAAACAAACAGTTTCTGAACCAAATTATATTTATTTTACACAATTATTTTAAATTACTACAAATTATTTCTCATGTTGGATTGAGACAATAAACACACATTCCTCAATTATATAATATAAAATCACACATTAATTGTATATAACATTTATGGATTTCCATTCAGTTTTATCGGGGTCTACTCTTGGCGCGCTTTCTAATTGTCACTATTTATTTTGAACTCACCCTGGTCCGCAGTGAATCTTCCTCTGTATTGATGCTGCAGGCTTTACTGCGTTAAACTTCTTTAAATCTTCTATTTTCCTGTCTTTGTCTAGACACTCACTACTTGTTAGTTACCTATCACTCTCTGTTGGTCTCGCACCATCGACCTTGTGGGAGGATGGGCACCCCGGTATATATATATATAAAACTGACGAATCTGCAGGAGAAAGGAGAGGGGCTTTTGGGATGAAGACATCCCAAAATAGGAAAATATATATTTTTTTTCATTGGTGCAAATTTGTTAATGTGAGTTATATAAGCTAAATACTTAAACAACCACAATATATTATCTCTTTAAATTTTTGCGCATATTCAACCTAAATGTTTCAAGAAATAATATAAGAAATTTATCTTTAAGAGCATTATTTTCCTGTTTACCGTTTGCTGCTTCTTTTTTTTCATTATAATTGAAATTAAAAAAAATTAACAAAAACTAAAAGTTTCCTCAAAAATAAATCCTTGATCTGAACTGATTACCATTATTTTAGTAATTATGTATAGCAATAATTTAATACATGTAAATTAATTCACATATATTAAGGTTTTATTCAAGATATTTCCTTTTTAAATGATTACATCATTCATTTTTCTTTTATATCTTTTTCTTTTCAATGCTCATATATTTTTTTAATTTCTTATGTTCAATGATTTGATTTGGTTGTTCAATTATCAATGATTATTGATGATTCCATAATTATTCATTCATTAATTCCCTGTTTCCAGTCGAACAAGTTTCATTTTTTACCTTCTAAATTTTTTTATATTATAATCATTTTTTATATAATAATCATGTAATCTCTTTACATATTTTTGTTGTATACATTATATAGGAAAAGATTGGGTTACAGTGGTGAATTTAATATTTCATATGTGCTTGAGAAAATATTTTCATATGCCCCTAGATTTCATTTTTTTTTTTTTTTCCTACCTGGCCATTTCTAATATTCTGGATTTTCAGTAGCAGTGGTGTAGTGTGTATGGGTTACGTCGATGCTGCTGCCACTAAATAAACTCTTTTTATTTTTTATTGTACTTCATTTTTTACACGCTTTCGGTTATTTATTTATTTCTAGGAACAATATAAATAGAAGTTTATAAAAAAAAAATGCGGCTTTGTCCAGTGAAGTCACAGGTCTTCTCTACTGATAAGTGCACTGGGTCCATAGCTCCCAGAACTTTATTTCATGTTGGACCCTCCCAGACATGCAGTTATTGCACTTGGATGGGGGCTGCACATGGTAGACAGGCACTCATTTTCCTTTTGTCCCTTATATCTAGCTTTTTTCTGGCCATATCCGTGGCATTTAAAGCAGAGGAGAGCCTTCAAACAGTCACCAACGCCCAATGTCCAGTAGCTGCTTGAGACCTCTTCCATCCGCTAGACTCCTGTTCTCATGGACAAATGAACCTCTCTGAAGGTTAGAAAAGCATGGCCAGATATATTCCTTGATATTTATTTTCATTGCTATTCCTTGATCTTTTCTCGATGTATATTTTCTCCCCCCCTCATGGAAGTCTTACAAGTCACAGAATTTCCAGTCCTTGGGTACCCCAGGATTGGTATCTTTGTTCTTGCCAAATTAACTCTTAATCCCTTGTTTTTCAGGAATGCATCTCTATGAGCATCTTTCCTTGTTCTGCCCCCTTAACCTTGGATGAATTTCGCCCTTGAGTTTCCGAAGTTTGCCGATCGCTGTCTATTCCAATATTTCTTCAGCCAGACAAAATACCATCTTCCTAGACATTATCATAAACTTTTTCTCATAATCTACTTACTTCTCACTGTTCTTTCTATTTGTTCTGTTCATTTTTCCTAAAATTGGTGTCTTAAGTTTTCCTTTTTTACATAAATTAGGCCATTATTCACCAACATTTCATTTATTAACTATTAATTACGACGTTTTGACCATACTAAGGGCCATTTTCAAGTTTTAATGAGTCCTCCATTAGATGTTCATTATTAATGTCGCATTAATTTGTTCAGTGAAAAATTAAAGAGTCCTGCTATTATATAGTTTCCCCTAAGTCATTTCTGGAGGAACTCAGTCACTGAACAAATTAATGTGACATTAATAATGAATATCTAATGGAGGACTCATTAAGACTTGAAAATGGCCTTTAGTATGGTCGAAACGTAGTAATTAATAGCTAATAAATGAAATGTTGGTGAATAATGGCCTAATTTATGTAAAAAAGAAAAACTTTCTATTTCTTTTTTTCCTTCCCTTCCTCACCTTTTCAGCTAAACATGGTTTTTCATGGGCAAGAGAAGAGGGTAGGGGATTAATAGTAGAGTTAAAATCCCCAGAACCAGGGTTTGAACTTGTAATTTTCAGTTTTTGCAAATGGTTTAATCTACTCGGCCACCCTGCCTCCCTTTTTGTTTTTTTTTCTGTTTCTGCCTTCATTGTTCTTTGTGGTTAAATATTTTTGGCCATGAACAGAATGTAGATAAAAATGCCTCACTGTTTTTCGGCAAAGTTTTTAAAAATTATTTAAACATTCTGATGATTTTAATAATCATAGAAATTTATTCTTCTCACAGAATGATGAAACTGTAGTGACCATGAAAGCAAACATTCCAAATGGCCAGACCGACCGCCTCCTCAAGATCACCAGCTTGATCACCCTCACTCTGCAAAACGCAATACTAGGACTCAGCATGCGCTATGCTCGCACAAGAGAGGGGCCGATGTTCATTGCCTCTACAGCTGTAATGATGTCCGAAATATTAAAATTAATTACAAGCCTTGGGATTGTTTATCTTGAGCATCGTAACTTCAGAGCTTGGTGTGAAGATATCTACAACAGGGTTATAGTTAATGCAATGGATACCTTTAAGATGTTAGTCCCTGCATTGGTCTATGTTGTACAGAATAACCTGTTGTATATATCAGCATCTCATCTAGATGCTGCCACTTACCAGGTATTATATTTTAGTTTATACTTTTCATTATAATAATTGAAGTTTAATTATCATAACTTATTATTAGGTAGGGAGTGGGGTAGCTCAGTGGTAGGCAGTACTGGGCTTCCAATGCTAAAGGTTCCAGGTTCGAATCCCGGCTCGTGGCAGAAAAATTATTTGTTCTGTTTCATTGGCCGTGGGGCGACCCTGGGTAGGTAGACCTCCTGGGGCACACCCAGCCTCTATAAAGTGGGTACCCTTAATTAATTAAGGGAAAAAACCTGGTGGTTGAGCGTGTTCTTGGTCAAATCACCTCTCTGCACAACCGTAGACCTAGAAACAGTGCTTTCCCTAAATATTACTGAACCCAAGACTCTTCATGGGTTGTAGTGGTACAGGGTTTTTTTTATTATTAGATAAGTTATTTAGATAACATCTAGTAGCACAGGTTATTTTAGTTTTATGATGCACATTAAAAAATCACAAATAAATTAATAGCTGGAATTTACTTGCTATCATTAATTTTAAGATCTGCTTTTTACAGGTCACTTACCAATTGAAGATCCTGACAACAGCACTATTTTCGGTTGTGATATTAAAACGTAAATTGTTATCAACACAGTGGGCTGCACTCTTACTTCTTGTCGTAGGAGTGGCAATGGCTCAGCTATCTGATTCTTCCGAAACACATAAACATTCTAATACAAAAAGTCATTCTCAGAATAAACTCATAGGATTCACTTCTGTGTTTGTGGCCTGTGTTTTATCGGGCTTTGCAGCTGTATTTGTCGAAATGATATTAAAATCTTCTAACAATTCTATTTGGATGACCAACGTCCAACTCAGTCTTCTGTCGTTGCCTTTCGGCCTCATGACCTGCTTCATCTCAGACTGGAATGAAATTGAGCACTTGGGTTGGTTCTACGGCTATGATTTCTATGTTGCCTACCTGATATTATTACAGGCTGCCGGTGGAATGATAATATGTTTAATTATCAAGTATGCAGATAATATTCTTAAGGGGTTTGCAACATCCCTTGCCATTGTAATCAGTGGCTTAGCTTCTGTGTTTTTATTTAACCTAAAAATAACTATATTGCTAACCACGGGAGCTATACTAGTAATATCATCCATATTCTTATACAGCAAACCAGCCACAGAAGATAAAAAACCTTTGCAATACAAAAATATTGAAGACGTATAGTGTAAATTGAAAATATACCTACTATTTTATATTATTTAGCATTTTATATAAAACTGAATATTTATTATACTTTAGAGCCATTAGAATGTAATTATTTTTTAAATTATAATATTTTGTTAGTTTAAAAAAAATGCTGTGTTCTAAAGCATTATTTATAATTATTTAGGATGCCAATGTTTACTTATTGAGGATAATTATCTAGAAATATTTATATTATTATTAAAAAATACATAAAGAATGTTTAAATTTGTGATATTACTTGGTTATGGCACCTCTTGTCTCTGTTGCGAGTTTAGAACTACCAGTTTATATACATCATCTGTATTTATTATGAGTAATATATAGGTGGCAGATATTATCAATAACATTATTACAAAACAGAATTTATTTATTCAATAAGAGAATTCCATAAAGAAGCATGGTAGTTCAGTGAGTAAGGCTCTGACTTCAAATCCTCAAGATCCCGAGTTTGAGTTTGGCTATGGTAGGTAATTATTTATTCTATTATATCAGCCCTTGAACAACCCTGGGATCAAGAGGATTCCTGGGGCACATCCAGCCTCTATAAAGTGGCTAGTCTTAATTAAAGGGAAAATCTGGTGGTTCAGCATTGTCTCTATCCTATCACCTCTCTACATAACCGTTGGTTTTGAAACATTGAAGCGGTACATTCCTGCAAAGTACTGAGCCCAAGACCTGTCCTGAGTTGTAGTGGTTCAGATGATTTTTTTTTTTTATAAGGAAATTCCATACCTATGAAAGATAGTAGTATTACAGTAATAATATTAGACATAAATTTGATACTATGGCCATAAAATATTTAAATTTTTTTCTTCAGCGCTACGACCCCTGAAGGACCTCGGCCTCCTCATCTATTTTCCTTGACACAGACCAATCCTCTGTAGCTTCTTTCCAATTTCTCAAACCTAGTGACCTTAGGATTCCCTCTACATTGTCTCTCCACTGTAGTCTAGGACTGTCTCTACGTTGTCTGTCCATCGTAGTCTAGGCTTGCCTCTTATTCCTTCCTCATTTGGATGTCCTTTTATTATTTTCTATAAGTGTTTTTTGATCCATTTGATATATATATATATATATATATGGTCCAGCTATCTTATTCTTCTCTTTTTATGGAGGAAACTATACCATTATATATATAGATATATATATATCTTAACATTAATACAGTATTAATGTCACTGTCAACGATGGGAAGGAAGTCAACACAGTTAATTTAGTTTTTTAAAAAGTTCCGTATAATGACTATCTTGCATATTTGATGGTAATGTTATTTCAATAGGGGACCATCGAACAAAACATTCCTTCTTACTACATTTTTCATTTTTACTTACACTTATCCTTACTATGGATTATATAGTAAGGAAAAGTATTGCGTTTCTGAAAATTTTCAAATCTGAGTTTTCAACAGGAATACATATTTTGAGGTCCCCCGAGTCCAAATAAATAAGTTCTGGAATATTGTCAGAGTGTGTATGTGAACAGTCTAGCTCAAAAATGAAAAGCTGTACTAAACTGATATTATGTATTTAAGATAGGCACATGGCTGGGATGTTCAGCAACTTTTTCCTTAAAATTGGCTGAACGGAAGTGCCACTTTATATCAATCTATAGAATAGAATGTCACATGGTGAGAATGTGAAACTCCATAATCTCTGATGGCGAGAATAATAAATAGTAGAATAGTACCTGCATAGGTACGGCATTTAGGAAATATTGTGGTGAGGAGGGGAGAGTTAAGCGTAGCATTGTGTTCAATGCATGGAAGAGGAGGGAGAGGGGGGTTTCATGGCACAAGTTGCACCACCAAAATTTATGAAGGGGTTACTTTTTGACGGAGTTTTCAGTATTTGAGGGGAGCTCATTTCAATGAGGTTACGAATTTTCAAAATGAAAAGTTTCAAATTAAAAGATAAGTGGAAGCATGGAACAGACCCGTAGTATGTGTAATTGTATATAATCTATGAATATTTAAATTCTGCTTTCGTTTGCACTGTTTTTAAGAAGAAGAGGGAAATAAAATATCTTGGGAGGGCTGGGAGAAGATTTATGCGCCATCAGCATTGGGGGGGGAGAGATGGGCATCCCTGTATTACACCATATATAAAGGAATAGCTCGGTAATCAGTTTCATTACCTATATTTTAATATAAAATATTATTTTCAATTTTTTTTTAGTACACTATATCTCCATCACATGCAATGTTTGAGTCATATTTTTGAAGGGAAAAATAAGCAAATCTCCAAAAAAAAAAAAAAAAACAGGAAAAAAAGTTATGATGAAAATTAAATTTTATCTGCACATAACTCAAAAAGTATAAAATTTTGCATAGTCTCCGAATTCTCTACAAACCAAGAGAAAAAAAATCATCAAAATTGGACCATTTTTAGCAAAATTAGAGTAAATTGTATTTTTTACATGCTTTAGTTTATTATTTGGAATGGAACAAGGATTATTATTATTAGATGGAGTTACGGCAAGGTGTCTCGTTCATAAAGGTTTCAGATGACCTTTTCTTTTTCAAGACCATTATTTAACAAAATAAATCACGCTATTCTCAGGTATCACAATGTTTAGTGCTAAAAATGGCATGATAAAGTTATGTTATCATTGTATAATAATCATAATATTTTAGTTGTTTGGCAATAATAACTTCCAGTTGTTAACAATTGAGTATATTTTACTATCAACGTTACATGTTAACAGGTTAGTTGACGTTTCGGGACATTTATTCCCATCTTCAGAACTGCAATTCCAATACTCTTGTGGATGCAAGGCTTAAATACACTCAATTGTTAACAACTGGAAGTTATTATTGCCAAACAACTAAAATAAATTGACAACTTCCCAGAAAAAAAGAAAAAAGAATCATAATATTATAATTTGATATAATTACAATAAGTAATAAAAGAAATAACTTTTTTGATCATAAATTTCCAATGGGTATAAAATTATTTCTCAAAATTAATTAATTAATAAATCTTTCTTGTTAAATAAAAATCAAAATATGTAATTTTTTTACAAATACATAACAAAATATGAGAAATATTAAATAATAAATCATAAAATTTATAGTTAAATAAAAAAATTAAAATTATAAAATTTAAACTTCAGCTAAACACATATATTTTTTTTTGATAAATTTATTTAATGACGAAAATATTAGTAATAAAATAAGAATATCTACTATAGTTCAGCCTATTTACTCTTCTAAAAGTAAATGCTCTTACAAATACATACGCTCATCTGCTTTAATAGTAAAACAACAAATAGGTGAATAATCAAATATCAGTTTTACATTCTTTTTCTTTTCCCTAATTTTGATGTATGAGATTGTTGAAAGAAGTTGTGTTACCCCTAATTGTTGATTTTTTTTTTCCCTGTAGGTACAATAAAATGAAATACCATCTTCTATTTGAAAAGTTTTATTGAGAAATTCATGAATGTATTTGATTAGCAAAATGAAATATGGTAAACAAATTTAGAAATAAAAAAAAAATTCAGACACGCATGAAAAGTCTCTTTATAATTTCTGGTCCAGGTCCAAAGAGCATTTTTCTATCCCAAAATTATCCAAATTTCTTGTTTACTAGTTAAAATAGTTTCAATGTAGAGGATGGGTCAGTAGCAATGGGTTCCATACAGCAAAATAATAAATAAGGACTTAGAGATTGGGTAAGATGCATGCAGTAGGTAATCAAAGTTAACCAATATCAAGCGTGGTAAGTACTTGGATGGGTGACCATCCACCAGAGAAAGCCATGCTGTCTGAGATTCCTCCACTCCTTCATCCGCTATGAGAGGCCCGTTAATCAACTGGAGGCAATTCAAAGTGATTGGGCGTTGAACTGATGACCCCACTCTATTTTCTTAAATCAGGAATTGCAATAAGGTTTTCCAGGAAGTTAGTAGCCTCTTCGAGGTTCTGTCCATGGACGGTCTGTTTCAGGAAAAGAAATATAGGTCCTCATGCGCCTGCTGACTCTTATCAGCCATAATCAATGGATCTAGAAGGAGTTGTCACTGTCCTTGAATCTGAGTGAGTTGGTCAGAAGAACATTGGCAGATTGGTCCGTAAGGGATCGGGTATGGAGCTACGAATGGCCTACTCCTGTTCCATAGAATGAAAAAAAAAAATACAAATAAACAAAATTTTAGAAATAAACAGTATTTTATACACGTATTAGAGATGAAAGGTTTTCAGATCGTTGGATTGGTGGTGGTGGTGGTCCAATTAGTTGGCCTCAAAGATTTCCAGATGTTACAGTACTGGATTATTGTTTATGAGGCTGGTTCATAGATAAAGTATACAAAGTAAAAGCAGACACTCTGGAGGCACTTATTCAATGTATTAAAATGGTGGAGGTACCATTTAAGAGAGATGGTGAAATAATGAAATAATTAAGAAGGCAACTGTTGCCCTTTGAAGACGAAAATGTTTTAGAAGTGGTATTTTCAAACATTTATAAAATACCACTTTGATAACCGAAATACTAATCAATGTATCAGATATTGTTTATATTTTCATAATTTTGTTTATTTGTAATGAGCCAATAAAATTTAAACATTTATGATTTTCCTGTGTGCAATCTAAGCCTGGAGTTTGACATGTTCTTTCCCACTCGCTCTGCATAAAAAAAATTCATTTTTCTCCTCGCTTATATAATTTTCAATATGAATTTCCTTTGTTGACTTAACATTGACAAAAATATGTTTTAGCTTTTTTAAATGTGCAAAAAATAATATCTTTCAAATATATAAAATAAAAAATGCTTTTAAACTGTCTGAAATATAAAATAATTTTTTTTTATAAAATATTAGGACAAAGGTTACCAAATGTACACAGTTTTTACATCATGTATTATTTATTCGACGTTTCGTCTTCAGGAGCCATTTTGAAGATCCTACAAACTAAATTTACTTCAGTTGTTATACTTCAAACTATATCATTATAAAATATATAATAATTCAATAACAATCAGTTATATA